TTATTTGACTAATATAAACAGTTATTTTGCTAATGTAAACAGGTATTTGTCTAATATAAACAGTTATTTTGCTAATGTAAACAGGTATTTGTCTAATATAATCAGTTATTTGACTAGTGTTAACAGTTATTTGTCTAATATAATCAGTTATTTGACTAGTGTTAACAGTTATTTGTCTAATATAAAGTTATTTGGCTAACAATTATTTTGTGTTTATAATTTTATTCTCATTCAGTAAAATCTTTTAGAAATTGCCAACACAAAAACACCAACTTCGTTATATCCAAGGGAACCCTTTTCTCTGGTATAGGGACCAGCTACACCACGCTGTGGCGCTGGAGCTCCAAAACTGGTGTTGGTAGTGCTGGCAAGAGTGAAGGATCGGCCATATAAACCCATTCCGAGGATAAGTTTGTTTCTAGGAGCTCCTTTGGAAATCCAGTAGTTAATGGAAAAGTTCTGTAAAGATTAAAAAGAGAATGATTGTAAGACACCCAAAGTACAACAGTTACATGTTTCAACGTCGACTACGAAAGACATTATATATAAATGTATTTTGTGTATTTGAGACAAGTATTCTACTAATAATAGGAGTACAATAAACAGGAAGAATTATTAATAGCAATAGAAGGAACAATGACATATAATAAGTAGCTAATTGTGTTAATACTGATAATGTAATTGTTATACATATCCGCAATCACAACACATTAAAGTCATTGTAAAGTGATTATTGGTAAAGTTTTACAACCCAGTAGGCGTCAATGTATATTAATATAAATTTAAAGTTACAGTAGGAAGAAACTTTCACAATGAGCTTTGATACTTAAATTAACAAAAATGAGTGTTGTAAAATGAAACAATATAGTAAGCATACAATAAGTACCTGTAGTTGTGAGAATAGAGACAGACAATACAGTGCTGACAGGGAGTAACATCTGGGAACAGGGATAGAAAAAATAGTAGGTAACAGTAAGTGCGAGTATGTAATATCTAAAATAGGGAAAGTCAATACAGAAGCTTATAGGAGGGGCGAGTATGTAATACCTAAAATAAGGAGAGTCAATACAAGAGGTGAGAGTATGTAATACCTGAAATAGGTAGGGTCAATACAAGAGGTGAAAGTATGTAACACCTGAAATAGGAGGAGTCAATACAAGAGGTGAGAGTATGTAACACCTGAAATAGGTAGAGTCAATACAAGAGGTGAGAGTATGTAATACCTAAAATAAGGAGAGTCAATACAATAGGTGAGAGTATGTAACACCTGAAATAGGTAGAGTCAATACAAGAGGTGAGAGTATGTAATACCTGAAATAAGGAGAGTCAATACAAGAGGTGAGAGTATGTAATACCTGAAATAGGCAGAGTCAATACAAGAGGTGAGAGTATGTAACACCTGAAATAGGAGGAGTCAATACAAGAGGTGAGAGTATGTAACACCTGAAATAGGAGGAGTCAATACAAGAGGTGAGAGTATGTAACACCTGAAATAGGTAGAGTCAGTACAGGAAGTGCGAGTATGTAACACCTGAAATAAGGGGAGTCAATACAAGCGCTTATAGGAAGTATGAGTGCGTAATATTTCGAAATAAAAAAAGTTAATACAGTAACTTGCAGTATGCGTTAGTAATTTAACAATAACAAACCTGCCTCAGTAATTTAACAATAACAAACCTGCCTCAGTAAACAAACTTTAACAAACAGTTGCACTTTTTAGCGGGAATCTTCTGAAGCTGTTTACACTAAAAATATTGATAAAAATTAGTTTCACAAAGTGAAGTATCTTTCATCTAATGATATTAATATTTCAGGGGAAAAACTAAAATTGTTTTCCGCTACATTAACCGAAATATGAGTTTCTGACAGCCCCAGGTTATATTTCATTACCCTTCGGGGAATGAACTATACTTTTAACCTGAATTCCTACCATGCTTGGATTGGATAACCGAAATAATTATATTTTCACCTGTGATTTATTTTATTAAAACATTAGTTATTATTAGAAGGTAAAACGGATCTTTTCTGTTTCCAGCACCACGTTCAAATAGAAAGAAATATATATTTTTGAATGTAGTTTTAATGCTGATTTCACACATATAAATTAAAATTTGGAGAAATTATAATAAATACTTTTTGTTTGCTAGGTTAGGCCAGTTTACGTGAGGTTAGATCAAGTTAGACTAATTAGTAAATAATTACATGTTTATTTAAATAATAAATATATGTAATTAAAAAAATGATTAAGAAATGAAAATATCTTCCCATTTAAAAATCAATTCTCCAAATTTTAATTCATATTTCTGAAATCTGCAGCAAATTGAAAGTACTTGGAATGTGGTTAACAAGCGACATTGTGGAACCAATCTTAACATGATTGACTTAAATCTCTGCGAGTTCCTTGGGTGTCGTAGGCATGAAAATGATGATCTCTTCAAGCAAATATTTAAGAATATTTCTGAATTTTCATATTGAATTTTTTACATTGTCACTAAATACTTTGTATTGTCTTGATGTATTGCAATTCTTTTAAATGCATAGGTATATATGTAATGATAAAAGTACTTCCTTTGTTTCTTAAGCAAAATATTAAAAACATATTTAAAATGTTTATTTTCATTTCACCAAATTTTAATTTATATTTGTGTAACCAGCATTAAAACTACATTCAAATATATATATATTTTTCTATTTGAACGTAGTACATGAAACACAAAAGATCCGGTGAAACAAACCTAAAACATGATGTAGAAAACGTTTTCATCATAAGCTACCCACCACATTCAATATTTGATTCAGTTCGTTGTCATCAGGTCGGGGATAAAGAGGAGCATGATGGCCTGTGAAGGTCTCCCAGCCGCCGTGATAGTCGTAGCACATGACGTTGATGAAATCCAAGTAACTGTAAATTATATAATGCCAAGCTAAAAATATGTTTATATATTCTTCTTAATGTTGTAACGATAACTATCTTAAACTAAAAGTGTGCCCGTTAGAAACAGATTTGCAAGGTCAAAGGGCATTCTGGAAACAGGTTAACAGCAGAAGGATATTTCGTTTTACACAAAACAAATAATTTAGTTTTGTTAATCTCGTTTTTTAAACTTATCTACTAACTATGAAGTATAACCTGCAATAATCAGTGGCCGATTGTGAGATTTTATCATACTATCGAAAGTACTGGTACAGCACACTTTGAGAAGAGGGTGGCGTGTTTTGCTACTATAGTTTACTTTTAACAGAGATTAAATCCATATTTTGTGTTAATCACGCCATTGACTCTGTTACGAAAACTTGTCAACAACTTTTTGGAGTATGCTAACACTTATCTTTCAGTGCAGCTCCAAGTATAGTGAAATCTCAAGAGTTGTCTCTTTTATCCCTAATTCATTATTTGAAAACACCAGCTTCTCATGGTTTGTTTGTTTGTTTGTTTG